TTATTTTAAAATGTTTTTCCGTTTTCTCATATTTTTGTGTTGATTTGCAATCAACATAAATAAATGACCGTATTTGTAATGTTTCATTATATACATCCTCCCTCGCCGTATAAATTACTATAAAGTAATTTGTAACGCATTATTTATCATCTCTCAGTTGCGTCTCTGTCTTTGGGCAGAGTGTGCTCAGGGGGTTCCCTGTCAAAGGACAGAGGGGCAGCTGAGAAAATAATACTGAGAGGTGCCCAGCCCTGGGGAACAGCTGCCCAAGGCCACGCCCTCCCATTGCACAAGAGGGAGGGATCGGTGCTCGCACCGAGGCCAGCGCAACCGACGGTTGCGCGGGCTGTGGGCAATCTCTTGCCCGGGTCTCCACTTTAAAAAGACCTTGCGTCACATCTCGTCCTCGTGGGGGAACGAATAACCAAACACCGTATATATACACCCTCCCAGGTCCTTTGAAGAGAAATAGAGGTTTATCACGTGTTTCCTGTTTAGGATTGGGTTTCCGGTTCCTTATAAAGCAGTAGTTCTCACCCGATTTTGGGACATTCCTCACTTTGGTATTTCTAAAATTCTGATGCCCCCCCCCGCCAACTGTAATATTTCATTCTTACATGTATGTAAATCACACATGTACGTAAATACACACCAAATATTTTTTTACGTATGCATACTGTATACGCACCGAATGTATTTAACACGCATTCAAACTTCCCAGTTTTTTTTTTTTGTCCGCTGTTTTTATTTCGGTTGAGTCAGTCTATGATTTCCCCATTCCGTCTTTTGTTTTACCCTAACCATTCCATTAGTGAGTGTGCTGCTTGATTTTGTCTAGTGGCAGAATACAGCGGCCTCTCGGATTTTGAGGGGTGAACGGTTCCTACTAACATTGTTTTGTTTCAGTTGTATCCTTTGTTTTATTTTTGAGTTCGTTTTTGGGGGTTCATCTCCCCCCCCCGCATCATTTCATGAATGAGATTTTTATTTATATATATTTGTGGACTTTTAAACTTTTATGTCATGGGTTGTTTTGTAGGTTCCTCTGCAACCTCTCCCCCCCACTTTGGCCTCGTGCTACAATTTTGTATTTTTATACAAAATAAATATATATATTAACACGCATTAACATTACACTCCCACTTAGACTCACTAGAAAACAATTCACTGTTAGTAACTTATTCTCGAATTGCTCCGTTATTCTGTTGGTATAGTAAGCTGAAGGATGCACATCCTACGCATGCCCCACCGGTAGGGTATGCGCCCCCACGTTGGGAATCATTGTTCTAAAGTCTTCTCTTTCACTCCCAGTAGCACCGCTTACGTCTTAGTGGCGTCATTCTCTTGCTTGGAGTGAATTAAACGTATTATATGTATTGTAGATGGAATGTTGTTCAATCAAAGAGGCGGAGATGTACGACTACCTCGGATCGCACGAGTTGTAGGTTCGATCTTACCTCCCTACTTTTCTCTTTAAGAATTTTAATTTTTTACTCTTTAAGCTTGGCAATATGTCATTCTGAGATTAGCACATTTTATAAAAACTTTATTGCATTATAAAAAAAAAAATCACTTTCAATCACCTTCTTACAACATTGCACGTATGGGGAGAGTAATAATGGATTTGCATTGTGGTGTTATATATATATATATATATATATATATATATATATATACAGTATAACCCGGATATAAGTGAGATTTTCTCTGGTCCCAAATTAGAGCCTCTGTTAATGTATATAAAATGGACCAAACCCGGATATAAGAGACTTCTTCTCCGGTCCCGACAACTCTCTTATATCCGGGTTACACTGTATACATTAACAGAGGCTCTAATTTGGGACCAGAGAAAATCTTTCTTATATCCGGGTTTCTCTTATATCCGGGTTACACTATATATATATATATATATATATATATCTTTCATTTTTCATTCTTTTTCTTTTTTTTTTCAATTACAAATTTTTCTCTTTTCTTTCATTTTAACTTTTTCTTTTTTTCTTTCTCATTTCCTAGACTTCATGAATTCAAGCGTCCTACGAGGCTGACATTCCTCTCTCACCCTTTCACTGTTGAAAATGTTAAATGTAGCCGTCTCTTCTACTCCAATAGCTTCATATCTCGCACCTCTCGCTTGTGGAACTCCCTTCCCTATTCCACTTTCCCTGACAGCTATAATCTCCAGCTATTCAAATGTAATGTCAATCGACATCTCCAGTTGCCTTGATCTATCCACTATCTTTCTCCTCATCCGTTCCTCTATCACTCTTATCTGCTCTCGCTCCAAATCTTCTGTAACCTCTTGTGTGCTAGTGGCTTCCCGCCTTGCTTGGGGTGAATCGATTAAAAAAAATATCGGCTCGAAGTGAGAACTCGGAGAGTAGAGTTCATTAAATTCACTTACGTACAAATACCTTTGGGGAAAGGTATGAATCCATCTCTTCTCCTCCCAGCTATGGGTTGAATAGCAGAACAGAATGGGTTCTTTAGCCTTGTTTGGCAACCAATCTACCGTCGATAGAAATGGCAACCTACCGCGAGATAAAAAATCTGATTCGTCTGTCATGTATCGAACGATACATGATCGCCCAAATGTGTATCACGACTGACTGAATAATTTGCCATAGAGGATTTGTGATTTATTGGGGTGGGCGACGAATAATAATTATATTCTGTATAAATAAAAAGAATTATAAAGCACCTTTGGATCAGTGAATTTGATCGAGTTTGGGGTAATCAGAAATAACCTCAATTCTCTGCACCCCGCTAAATGGCTTTATACCGATTTTTTTTTCATATTAAAAGAATATTTTTACGAAAATATCTACTAAGAGTGTGGCGTTGATTCCAAAGAGAAACGGCCATTTTTAAGGTAAATAATATGGACGCTTTCTTTGTAGAGATAAGTTTTGTTTTTAAATATTTTGCATTTCTGTCGTAATTTTAAGATTTATATTTTATTTTGTAGAGATTAAGATCTTCAATATCGTTATGCTTTAAATTAAAATTAATTTTCTAGTTACCTTTTAAATGTGTCGAGGTCTCCGTTTCATGGTTGGCTATTTCATTAAAAAGGAGAAATAAACGAATTTTATTTCTTTATTCTGATTCCCTGAATTGTAAGCATTGTAAAAAGTAAGCCTCGCAAATTTGAGAAATTAAAGTTTTGTAGAAGTTTGGGAATTTTTTGTTATAGTTTAATAAATGTATAAAACGGAAAACCCGAACGTTGTGACAGTTTTTTTTTTTTTCTTTTTTTTTGTTGAGAATTTTCTTTTTTCTTGGTTTTTGTTGCGGTTATAGTAAGGTTAGTTTTAAATAGACTAAACTTCTAAAGAATTGACGAGTTGAATTTTTAGATGTTTTTTGTTCCAGAATTGAAACTAGTCAAGGAAAGTTTTTTTTTTCTGTCGTTATGTGAGCTTTATATAGTTTAACTTATAGATAAAAAAATTCGTTAAAAGAGGTGGCATCATGAAAATGGTTAAATCATAATAAAAACAATTTTATCGTTAATATCTTTGAGTTAAGAGGAAAGATCAAAGGATTCTTTGTAAATATTTTTGTTTTTATCTATTTAGAACCTCGGAAACTTTGGTAATTTTTTTCTTGTGTAGGAATCTACTTAAATATATCTAGTGCAATTAGGATGTAATTGTTTTTTGTTTTTTTTCGTTTTTTTTAACATGGTTTCTTAAAAAATATAGATGTTCTACGTCTATTAAATTTAATCATGTTTTTCCCCCTAAATTGGGAATAATATTTCACAATCCAGGCTGTTGCAGATGAACAAAATATCCAAAACCAAGACCGTGTCCAAGCTTTTTGAAAAGCAAAAGTCGTCAGGGGTGTGTACAAGTAAAGTAAGGTGAAGAAAATCAAGTCAGTTAAGTGCCGTTAGATTTTTAAACTGAATGTTATAACTTCAAATGCAGGAAGTCTTTCAGGCAACGCGCGACAATAACGTGTATCAGTCATGTCAGATTTAAAAAAAAATATATATATTGGTAAATACGAGATCGAACACAATTTTTATAATGTAGGAGTTTTTTTTAGTATTTTTTTTTTACTATTGGATTTAGATTACTTGGGGGGGGGCTCCAGGTATAGGGTTACAAATTAAGAAGTGAAAAGTTGGGGGGAAGATAATGGTTAACTCTTGATTTGAACAGGTTAAGATTGTAGTGATCGGAGAAACATCCGCTTGGGAGTCAGTTCCACAGAGCAGTGGTTCGCAGGAAGAAGCTGTCCAAGTGGAACTTACTTCTCACTAAAAGGAATACGGGTGGTTTGCTACAATGTGAATGGCATAGCGGTTTCTAGCCTTGGGGGTTCGAACTGGTGGAATCAACGAATACAGTTTTTTTTCCGAGCACTTTCCATGGAAGCAGTGATAGATTAGTGAGAGGTTTGCGACATCCCTTCTGTGAGAGAGAGAGAGAGGTTGTCAGGCTGGAAAATAATTTGTTACCCATAAGGACCTGGAGATGCTTTTGGACAGAAGAGTGATGACAAGGCATCTTCCGGTCAAATATGACAGTCGTACTCCATTTTAGACCCGATCTGACTCTTGTAACTGAAGAGGAGAGCACCAATGTACTTGTAAAATATTACTTTATATGGAAAATTTTTTTTTTTTTTTTTTTTTTTTAAAGTTATAGATCATAGATTCACCGTAAAAAAGCAAATAAGTTTTTTTTTAAGTACACATATATAATCATAATATTTTTATGGTATGGGGCGCGTTTTGTAGGACCCCCTTGAGAGGATGCGGTATTATGGTGTATGGAGGATTGATTGGTGATGGACGAGTTTTTGTGGTGAATGGGCAAATTGTAATGAGTGAATGGGTCGTGAATCGAATTAACCAGGCATAGGATAGTTAGTGACGACCAGCCTTAACCCCTCCCCCTTTTCGGCCTTGTGCCACAATTGTGTATAAAAACGCAATAAATATTAAAAAGCAAATAAGTTTTTCTTTTTATTCTTCAGAATTCGGTATGACCTGTTGGAATGATTTCCAAAGAATTGCTCAACTTTTCGAGTCAAAGAAACCAGTGGAAATCCAAGAAATTCTGAATTCTTATTCTTTGGAACAGAGACGATTCCTCGTCTCCATAAAATACGAACATTCATCGCTTCTTTTCACTGCAGTAAAAAACCAGGATGTGTCGCTTGTGTCTTATTTTCTGGAGAGCTGCTGTGCCAACCCAAATAGCTTTGGATGGATGCACGGGGAAAAGTTAACCTGTCTTTGTGCGGCTGTTACTTTAAATTCTAAGAATCTTGCCTATATTCTTTTAAATCACGGAGCGAATACTGAAATTCTTTGTTCTTCCTACGGAAGAACAGCTCTTCATTATGCCTGTGAAAATGGACGGTTAGAAATGGCCAGACTTTTGATTGAACACGGCGCCAATGTGAATAGCAGAGATTATAGTGGACAAACGTGCTTGATGGAGTCAATACATAATTTAGTACTTTGTAAATATTTAATATCTGTGGGCGCAAATGTTAATTTGGTAAATTATTGTGGATACACAGCACTTGCTTCGGCATTTAAAACTGGACTAAATGAGGTTATTTCTTTTTTTATTAGCGTTGAGAGTGCGGACGTCAGACTAAAAACTGATTTCGGGGAAGACGTTTTGCATCTTGCTGTACAGTTTTCCTCTGAAAAGATTGTGAAGAAAATAATAAGAAAAGGCTGTTATTCAAGACATGAAGTTATTAAAGTCTACGAGACGCAAAGCTGTCTTTTGCACATTAACAATTTTAAAGAGAAATCAAAGGAATTATGGGAAAAGGCGTTGCGGCTTCGTTACGAACCAAACGACACCGCAATGTTTCAGCCTTCCCACCCGACAGGGAAACTACAAGAGGTTGTACACTTTTTCATTGATGACATGCCGGCCCTCTTATATTTGGAATCTGTTTATGGTTCAAGCGATATGTTTACTTTGCAAGCATTTACATCAGCCGTATGCAAAATCGGCGAAGTGGAAAAGTTTGTTGTCTTATGCAATTTCTTTTTCAGCATAGTGTATTCACTGGACGATAAACATTTCTTCATGACTTTTTACCAAGCAGAGCAGTTAATATGGCATTCCCTCACCATAAACATTGTATTTGACGAATTAAACGCAGTGAAAGTTTTCGAAATGATAGTGAAATACGTTTTAGAAATCCGTGCTAGATTCGAACGCATGACGCCTCGAGAAAGAATATCTCAAGCTTATAAAGTAAAATTGATTTTATATTTAGTCATCGATATGATCCACGAATTGGAATGGTTCTGTGAAAAAAACGTTGATTCCTTTCACAAGGGGATTGCGCAGATCTTAAAGGCGGACCTCCGTGGCTTAAACCAGAAAAGCCTCTTGCAAATGACGGTAGGCGGATGTGAATCTTCTCGAATTGTTCATATTTTTCTGGAGTGCGGGGTTGACGTCAATAGTACGGATAACAAGGGGAAAACTGTACTTCATGATTTAGTTGAATTAAACAAAGAATCCAGTGAATTAGTTAAATTAATAATTGACAACGATTTTGATTTCCACTTAGTTAAATATGACGAATATTGTCTTCCTTGTAGGATGGAAAGAGTAACTGCTTTGCCAAATCCTGTTAAGCACATGTCATTACAATGTCTTGCCGCCAAAGCTTTTTGTAAAAAGGCAATGAATTGTTTTGGTGATGTTCCTCATCATTTAATGGCTGTTATAAATTCCCACTTGTAAGTTCAATAAAATATACTCTAAAAGCTAACGAGTTTTTGATAGTTGGAGTAAAATTTCTAATGTTTACGTAGACGAATTTTTTCATTTCTTTCCTTTCTTCTTTTCTTTCGTCTGATTTCTATATCCTTTCTATTTCTTTATCTATTTTTCTTACTTTTTCTTTTTTCTTTCCTTTTTCTTTTTTCTTTCCTTTTTTCTTTTCTTTTTCTTTCTTTCTTCTTTTTCTCTTTTTCTCATTTATTTCTTTCTCTTTTCGCTTTTCTTTCTTTATCTCTTTTCTTTCTCCTTTTTCTCTTTTCTTTCTTTCTTTTTCTAATTTATTTCTCTTTTAGCTTTTCTTTCTTCTTTTCCCCTTTTCTTTCTTCTTTTTCTCTTTTCTTTCTTCTTTTTCTAATTTATTTCTTACTCTTTTAGCTTTTCTTTCTTCTTTTTTTCTTTTCCCCTTTTCTTCCTTCTTTTTCTCTTTTCTTTTTTCTTTCTATTTTGTTTTTTCCTTTTCTTACTTTCTCTCTGTTTCTAAATTGTTTCTTTCTCTCTCTCTCTCTTCGTTTCTCTTTCTTTCTCTGTTTCTCTCACTCTTTGTTTCTCTCTCTCTCTCTCTCGTTCGCTTTTTCTTTCTTTGTTTCTCTTTTCCTTTACTTCATTCTTTTTCTCTTTAATGGTTTTTAATTGATCAAGTAAAAATTTCTAATGTTTACTTTGACCAATTCTTTTCTTTCCGTTTTTTTTTCTTCTGTTTTCTATATATTTTTTCTTTCTTCCTTTTCCCTTTTCTTTCTTCTTTTTCTCTTTTCTTTTTTCTTTTTCTCTTTTCTTTTTTCTTTCTTCCTTTTCCCTTTTCTTTCTTATTCTCTTTTCTTTCTATTTTGTTTTGTCTTTTTCTTACTTTCTCTCTGTTTCTCACTTTCTTTCTTTCTCTCTCTCTTCTTTTCTCTTTCTTTCTCTGTTTCTCTCACTCTTTGTTTCTTTCTCTCTCTCTCTCGTTTCTCCCACTCTTTGTTTCTTTCTCTCTCTCTCGTTTCTCTTTCTTTCTCTGTTTCTCTCACTCTTTGTTTCTCTCTCTCTCTATTTTTGTTTCTATTTCTTTCATTCCTTGTTTCTTTCTCTCGTTCGCTTTTTCTTTCTTTGTTTCTCTTTTTCTTTATTTCATTCTTTTTCTCTTTAATGGTTTTTAATTGATCAAGTAAAAATTTCTAATGTTTACTTTGACCAATTCTTTTCTTTCCGTTTTTTTTCTTCTGTTTTCTATATATTTTTTCTTTTTTTTTCTCTCTTTCTCTCTTTCTCAAGAAAGAGCATTTGCTGAGTGACTTTGCAACAACCACCTTAAACTACCAGAAATATTTGGATTATTTACATAATCTCCTTTTAGTTATATTTCTGTTGGTGTTTACTTGGCAACCAAATAAACATGAAATACGTCGACATGTCAGACTTGTCTGAATACCATACGCATAACCTTGTACAGTAAAGCGGCTATCGATTCTTGCACCTGTAATCGATAATGGTGTTTTCTTCAATATCGGCACATTATTAGATCGTCTTGTTTGTTATGTATCGGTGGACTTGTGGTGTTGTTGCGAAAACGATTCTCCTCCAGCCTCTCTTGTTGGCTGAAATGACATATTGACCCAGAATCAATAGTGGCTCCAACCCCTGTTTATTATGAGGATATGGGCCGCTAGTAAGCAAAGACAAATAGGCTGGTAGCATATTTATTACGCAGATATGATACTAGTGTAGACATTTTGTCCGTATGATTATCGTTCATAGAAGATCTAGATCTTCACGGTGGTCGACTCAACAGCAAGGCCTCTGATCAGGAGGTTTTGAGGAGCGTGGAACCACCCCTGCTGGTGTAATGGACAACAGCTCGGAATGTTAAATCTGAGAGCAGTACTCAAATTCCAGTAGGTCTGTTATACTCACGCGCAAATACCCTTGGGAAAGGCATGATTCGACCTCTTCCCTACCGTCCTGTAATTAGAAGGACATGTATCATTATTATCTCCACAAATTCTTAAAAATTTTAATATTTTCTGGCTTTAAATAAACTGCAAAAGGTCGATAAACCGTAAAAAACAAATAGAACAATCAATTAATCGACCAAAGATGCGAACAATAAATTAGAAACTCCAGAATCATTCAAGTACAAGAATATAACTATCTAGGAAGTATTTAAACAGAGCACGGAAAATATGACATTGCAGACCTAGAAAGCATTTGGAATAATAAAAGATGCCTATCAAAACTTCAGCAAAGAAATAAGAAAAGGGAAAATTGCATTAAAAACAAAGTAAGAAGGTGTTATGTAATATCAGTTCCCTTATATGGCGGTGAGAAAATCCTACAATCTAAGAATATTTCTAGCTTTAAATAACCTACAAAATGTTGATAAGCCGTAAAAAATCATCTTACCAGCTACAATTAAAAAAAAAATTAAATGCAACGTCAATTGCCATACATCTTATTGAAACCTGTTCTTTCATTGACCTTTTTTCTCACTAAAGTCTTCTCATTATTTTCTAATCCTTGTAACATTTTGCATCCTAGTAGCATTATCGCGATCTTCCGTCTACCTGAAATCTGTTCTCTTATTGTCCTTTCTCCTCACTAAAATTTTCTCATTCTCTTTCACTCCTTGGAACATTTCGCATCCTAGTGGCATTATTACCATCTGGTGCCTTCCTGAAATATTTTCTTTTATTGTGTGTTTTCCTCACTAAAGTCTTCTTCTTATTTTCCACTCCTTGTAACCCTTTGCATTCTAATGACATCATCGGCATCTTTTGTCTCTTTGAAACCTGTTCTTTTATTGACGTTTCTCCTCACTAAAGGCTTTTCATTCTCTTCCACTACCTGTAATCCTTTTGCATCTTAGTGGCATTATCGTCATTGTCCGTCTACCTGAAAAATATTCTTTTATTTTCCTTTCTCTTCACTAAATCTTCATATTGTCTTCCATTCCTTTTAGCCTTTTGCATTCTAGTGGAATTATCGCCATCTTCTGTCTACCTGAAACCTGCTCTTTTATAGTTCTTTTTTCTCACTAAAGTATCCTCATCGTCTTCCACTCCTTTTAAGCCTTTGCATCCTCGAGCATTATCGCCATCTTCTGCCTTCCTCAAATGTGATATTTTATAGTCCTTTCTCCTTACTAAATTCTTCTCATTCTCTTTCACTCCTCGTATCGCTTTGCATCCTAGTGGAATTACCGCCATCTTCTGTCTTCATGAAACCTGTTCTTTCATTCTCCTTTTTCCTCACTAATGTCTTCTCATTCTATTTCCCTCTTTCTACCCCTTTGCATACTAATGGTATTATTGCCATTTTCTGTGTTCCGAAACCTTTTCTTTTATCATCCTTTCTCCATTCTAAATCTTCTCATTTTCTTCCACGCTCAACAACCGCTTGCGTCTTAGTGTCATTATCGCTGTAATTTGTATGAAATGATTAAAAACATCTTTTGCTGTTCCAATACGACTTCAGATTTTGGCGTCACTTTTCCCATCCGCTTTGTTAACACCCTTCCCATTTAAATTCATGTTCTTTCTTGATTTTGTCGTCCCTTCATCATGATTTACCTTCGAATTAATATCCTTATGTTTGATGTTACGATCACATCATTACGTTTGTTGTGACCCCCCCCCGACCTGCTTCAGGTATCTGTTAATATTCACAGCCGTTTCAAGCTGAACCCTTTATTCAATCTACGGAGGCAGATTTTCTTATTCCGCTGTTCATGTCTCGAGATATATTATTTAATCGCTCACTTATCGATCGATACTACCCAGCCCAGGAACTGAACTCACAATTATGTTAAATTCTATAACCAAACCTTTAATCTTCTAGGCCATTGTCATGAGTTAACCTTTATCAAATAATACCGTAGTCCCACAGACAATGACATAGAACGGTGAGTAGAATTTTAATTCTATATCATTTCAAATAGCTGAAAATAACTTGTCCATTTTTGTGCAAAAATTGGATCACAGAGCCTTGATATTTCGCTGATTGGTCAATTAATGCTAATATCATGTTTTCAACTACGTCCGAATTGTATCGACCCAGTTTCCGACCTGAACGAAAATACAATTTCGCCAAAAATCTGTCTATGTGTTTCGAGCCCATCACGTGGTAGACAAGATTATAAATACCAGCGACATTTTCAGCTGTTTCCCTTTTGCCTTCTCTCACACACAAGCTGTAACTTTAGAGAGATTACGTTTGTCCCTTAAGGGCAAACGCTATGCAAAAGACACACACACATATATATATACATATATATATATATATATATATATATATATATATATATACACACACACACACACACACACACACATCTACATCTATTCATTCTTTCATCTACAAGCAACAAAAACTTTCTCAACTTCTAATAGAAAGATTTTCTTCAGCACTCAACAAGTCAATAACACCTTCTTATCGAAGAACATTCTTTTCATTGAGACTTACCATTATTTCACGAACTGAAATCTATCTCTGGGATCCAGATAAAGTTAATCAAACTACAAGATTTCAACCCAAATCTACGCCATTGTAATTCTTTTTACGATATATTGAAAATTGTTTGTTAACCAAAATATCATTTTTGTCTTTTCTCAGTTTTTTGTTGTTTTCCCTTGTTTACTTGTTTTTCTAGCACGTTTGTAAAGTAAAAAAAAAATGTATGTATTGAATTGAGGCTGTCCAATACCGCTATAGGTGTTTCCTAATTCTTTTTCAACCAATACTCTTTTTGGGCATAGACTTTTTGTCAAAGCCCATCCCGTCAAATTCAATATAGAATATTATATTGAATTCATCTTTCATAGCATGATAACACTTAGGTACTAGTGCAAAAATATTTCTAATATTGTTTTCATTTCTTTTATAAATAGCAATAATTAACATACTAAAAAATGTTTATTTGCTAGCTTATCTCAAAGTTTTCATTGTGGTCGTTGACTTTGGTCCTTATTGGCTATGGCTATTACTCTGTTTCATGCTGCTCAGAAGTAATTTTAGATCTCTTCGTTTTGTAATTTCAGGCGTTTTCTTTGTTTAGTAAGAAGCTGTGTAACTGCGTTGAAATCACATTCAGCCATATTGGAAGTTAGAAAATAAGTGAAGATATGTTTGATAGCTTCCCACATGTTTTAGATACCTTTTCCAAAATTTCTTTTTGTAACCAATATTGAATTTTTGAGAACAAAACTGGATAAATGACCACTGTATGTTCACCATCCTCAAGATGAAATAAAAACTCCTAGTCCCACTTCAGTGCACAGAAGTGGGTGCTAGAGTTCACGTTGGGAAACATTGGCCTAGAAGATAATTTTATAGTAAATATTTAAAAGTTAAAACAATTTATTTTACCTCAACTTTCTGCAAAAAATAAAAAATACATTTGTGACACAAGACCAAATGCAAAGTGGGGAAGGGTTGATCGTTACCCACTATCCTACCTTGAGCTAATCGGATTCACGACCCATTCATTCTTACAATTGATTCAATTACCACAAGAACTCATCCATCACCATTCAATACAACGTTACAATACTGTAGGGATCCTACTAAAACAACCATGGCATAAAAATTTAGTAATATAAAAATTGCCTTTTATTGGTTTATTACCTTTTTTTTTTTACAAAAATATATTTAGAAAAACACTGACAAATTAGAAAAAAAGTTTTTGTGACGCGTTTCATCCATTACGATTTCATCGGATGCCCCGATGTCACGTCTACGCATGCGCAAGAAACGAGAAACGTTGGTAGTTTTACATTTTTTGAAAGATTTTTTTTTTTAAATGAGGGGAAGGAAATGAACTCTATAGCGAAAATAAAGTATAGTACAGCATTCAAACTAAAAATGAAATATGTTAGTAGGACCCGTCCACCCCACAGAAAAATAATTGACCACTGTATTCTGCCGATAAGCAGAATCAAGCATTTCACTCGCTAAAGTGTGTATATATATATATATATATATATATATATATATATATATATTTGTTAAACCATAGGAAGTGGCAGTAATCTTTTGGTGTACTTTGGCAAGCTAGAATAAAGGTTGGATTTCTGGTAGGAATCTAAAGATAAAGAACATCTGGGTCAATGAATTTGATGGTCGACTTCAATATAGTTAAGATTAATGCCTTCCTGCTCCTCAA